TTCGATGAGAAAATGGAACAAAACTAGTTTCTAGAACTTTGTAACATCTTCGATTTGGTTTCGCGAAATGAAAGTATTAAAACGGGCTTGATTCAGCTTGAAATGTTAATTTTATTCCACCCTTCTCAGAATGAATTCTCTGTTTTTGAGTTTCTGACCGAAATTCGTTGGTCCTGATTGTGGTCGATGATGTAGTACGAAATTATTGAGTTGCAGAATGTTTCTAATATTACTGACTTTAAGTTTTATGATTATCCGAAGAATAGCGCTGGCGTTTGTATTTTTGACTATTACCAAATTAATTGGTTAATGGAGTCTGTTTTATGGAGAATAGTAAGTATTTATTTTAGTGTACTCTTGACTTTATTTTTTGGGTGGGGTGTTTTTTTTATTATGCTAGGCAAAATGGTACCAACTAGCAACCCAAGCAAACTACTAGGCATTTAAGAGCTGTTTTAAGAACTGATCTAAATTGTTTCCGAAGTGGGAATCGTTAATTAAGTTTATTTTAAATTTAATAAATTCAGAATTAAAAAAATTATTATAAATCTTGTAATGACATGTCGCACCAGGCAAATGATCATTTTAGTTACAGTCTATATACGTCCCACAGCTGAGCACAGGCCTCCTTTCACTTCTGAGAAGGTTTATTGTTATACATTTTTTTAATTATTATTTTTATATTACAAAAAATAAACAAAAACAGTTTTTCAATCAATTTATTTTATCATCCATTTCAAACTACACTTTCAAAATTATTATTGAGATTATAACTACAATAAGCTATAACTTTCACCTAAACTTTGATCCGAAAGTACGTCATTCACTGTGACACAGTTTTTAAACATAAATGACTTCAAAACGACATCCTACATCTGTTTATATGCTTACTACATTACTATTTTAATGAAACATTGTTAAGCTCAAGTAGATTAAATGAAACAGACCCCAGTTAAGATTAAACACTCAAAATTTCACAATTTCTTAAACTCTTTAATGGATTCTATTTCATGTAGGCCACTTTGCTTAAACGCCGTTGCTTAGTACAAATACAATAAATTAAGTATTAGAAATTAGTTGCACGCTTGCAAAAGCTGCTTTACGGTGGTTTAGTAAGCTAAATACATAATATTAAACGTATTAATCTCACATACGTCAAAAATTCGCTCCTTTCCATACACGTCTACCACTTACGATACTATTGTTCCTTATTCATATAAAACAAGATTTGTTTGTTACAACATAATTATTAAGTCTCAAATAACGCACGTTAGTTTCAAAATCAGGTACAAATTAATCAAAATCGAGTCAAAGGTAACTAAAATTGTCTAAAGGAAGTTTATATTGAGATCATTTTGCGCATTACACCAACTTTTTGAATATAAAACTGGATTAATGTAACTATATATAATTGAAGAAGGGAATATATAAGTCAAATAACATATAGTCATTAAATATATACAATCACTACATTTTTTGGCTTTGCTATTAACAAACTAAATCACAGAAAAACTACAAAAATATCCCCTACACTAAACTAACTGCTCACTGCTTATCAGGCATAAAATGCGCGTAAAATAAATATATTTAGCTCATTTTTTATTATGTGAAAGAACTAAGTGCGTATATAAACACTAAAACCATTTCTCTAACATCTAACACCTTATACATAACCACTTTAATCTACTTAAATCTAACGTAACAAAAAATATAAATAAGTCAATGTGATTGTTACATAACACGTGCAATCTTTTCTTCTTACATAAGTGCTGTTGCCGTATCGAAAAATCGCAAGACGAAATCAAAGTTAGTAATCGATGCCTATACAAGTGTAATTAATTGGTAATAATTTGCGTTTTTACTTAGCAAAGTCGTATAGCACGATTTAATAGAGTATTCCCAATAGACTTACCAAGTACTTAATCTTACTGGTACTTGTAAAGTTGTAAAGCTACTGAGAATTTTGGTGTAGCGTGTGGTGGATTCCCAAATCTTACTAAATGGTCACAAGCAATATTACTTGGAATTCCTTACCAAGTAGGCCATACTGATAAAACCACAGTGGAAGAATATTCTCGGTAGTCCCACTCTATAAAGTAAATGGAAATTGTCATCAGACCCACTTTAGTTCATTTTTGTCAAAATTATACATTCGCGTAAACGTTTTTGGCCTAACTTGTCTTATTTGCTTTTTAACTATTTTGCTTTATAACCTTTTTTTATTACCAACTTTTAAACGGCCATGAAAATTTACACTCGTATCACGGGATCGATGACAATACAATCATTTAATAATTTTATTCTAGTATCCTGATCGGGATCAACACGATAAAATAAAATAATTACGAGGATCATATCACACTCATAATCATTCATAAGTTATTTATGGATTAGTGGAATCAAGCATAAACGTGAAAAATAAAGTTGGATCTATTTCACAGCAGAAATATAAAGGTGATATCAACCAAGACGGACTCCTAAGCAAAATTCAAACGAAGTCGACAGTTGATCTTGGAAAAAATATTGACTAATTTGTTCAAAACATTCGGTTAAGCTCTTCCAGTCTTCGAATTTCAGTCACGGCGGCCAGTCTCATCGACGACAAGCGTCACAGAAGTATCAGGCGAACAGAAGTCAATATAAGTAGTATTAGTTTACAAAATATACATATTAAAACTATCCCACTACCTCTTGCAAGCTTATGCTTGTCTAGTACTATTCCTAAAATAAACTACTAAAGTACTAACAAACTGATGATAACTTCCATGTACTTATAGAGTTCTTCAGTACTCAGGACTACCGAGAATTTTCTTTCACAGTGGTCTCACCAGTAAAGCATACTTGGTACGAAAATTCGCATTAGTCTTGCTTGTAAGGCAATTTAATAACACTATTGGTAATGCACCACGCCATGAAGGCCCCCAGTAGTCTTATTAATAAAAGTACTTGGTAGGACTACTGGGAATAACTTGATTTTATCACGTAAATTAAACTTTACGACTTGAAAATTATTAACGGCTACCTAAGATTAACATATCGTTATTATGCCTGAACATTACTTACCTACCCTACAGTAAATATGGAGCCTATAGTAAATGGCGCTAATGAAATCCGATTATATCCATACGAATGTATCAAAAACCCTTAACAGTACATAATGTACAAATCGAGTAGTTAAGTTATCATAACAAAGTTCATATAGAGTTCGATCCAAATATAACGGCGGCTCTTGAAGTTAAACGCAAGGCGCTGCGCAATTTAATCTGCACACGTCAGTACGCTCAAGTACTGTCGAGTTCAAAGATGCTTGTTTTTTGTCATTAATATTTATTTTTGATCTTGAATTTATTTTTTTTAAATAAAATATATTGAAGCTTTAGGTTAAAATATAAACATATTCTGTTATTAGTGGTTAGTATATTAAAAATAAAAACTTTTTAGTATTTATCGGACACAGATAATTATTCCACCAAGCTTTTATATAATTCTGGTAAACATTGATTGAATTTATTTATCTATTTCATCACAAATTCCCAACTCTTTTAAAAATTAATTAATTTAATAACATTAAAATATACAACCAATTACGAATTTATTTTCTTGAAATTGTGTACTCAGAAAGCAGACATTATTGTTAACCCGTACTTAAATGATGGAGACTGTACAGTGTACATGCGCCGCACTTGATGCTAATTTCAAAGCCGTCGTTAAGTTTAAATGTAGTAATACCAGTTTGTACTTTAATCGATAAGATTCCGTGACTAACTCACCTACAGGACTAGGCTATAATGTGTCATTGCCATATTTAAATTAGCCATTAAATTTACAGTAGGTATACTTTAATGACAAAATTATTTTTTTAAATGTGTGACAACAATACACTTGTCTAACAATAGCAAATCTAGTATAACTTTTTTTATTGGGTGCGTTTGGCAGAAAAAAGCGCTAGCAAGCGCTTATAAGCGCTGAAATAATTTTCGGCCAGGACACGATTGCTACATCAGTAGCGCTGACACAATCCGCCATTTTGCTTATTTAATTTGTTTGTTTTGAAGTAGAGTTTATAAGTTCTTTTGTGCAATATTAGTTTTAAGTAATATAATGACATGAATAAACATATATGTACATGTTATTAAAAATTCATGATTGGTAAGTTTTTTAATATATTTAAATTAGGTTAGGTTCCCCGGTTAAAACTAACATCGTGTCCTAGAGGAAAATAGCTACTTACGATTTGACAGCGCTTACCGCTTACGATCGCCATTTTGCTTACAAGCGCTTGCTAGCGCTTTTTTCTGCCAAACGCACCCATTGATTTTCTTTCACTTGGTCATAGTTAGCAGCGCTTTGAGTTGTTATTACAAATTATATTTCATCAGCTTAGGCCGAATTAGTTCACAGTTTCAAAAAACTAAACTAAAAATAATTTAAGAACAGTCTACCAACCTATTGCCTTATCACAATTTGTGTTTCGACAACATCATGATTATTTCACAAATAATTCTTACCGACGATTATATATAGTCTGTAGCCTTTCACATATTTCAAGTTATACTTTGGCTAAATTAATCAATTGTTTGAATATGAAAATTAACTAAAATAATGCATAAGACATGAACAGCCCGCCAACTTACTTTATCACAATTTTTGTTTCGGCAACTTCAAAATTAATCAATAAATATAATAATCTATTTACTTTAAATACGTACCGCGCACTTATATAGTTTACAGATAATCATTCCAATACATATCAATTAAATTAAAATATCGCAATTACAAATGGTTACAACGACGCATATTGCGATGTCGGGACTAGAATAAATATTACATATTGCATGACAAAGCATCGCAACTAAAACACAGGTTTTTTTTCGTATTTTAAATACTCTTTGGTATTGTTCACTGGGCTAATCAATAATAAATCTAATAATATTATACCGACATGTTTCACACCTAAATCAATGCAGATAAATGTCTTTCTACTATCAATAGGGTGATATTTACAGGAGAACTGCAGGTAGAGGGGTAGATAAGGCCATGTGTTCGGCGCCGCGTACAGGAAGCCGTTGCGCGGTGACGTAGTGACGCATCAGCGCTGGCACCGTCGGGAACGCTGTACTTGCACCACCCAGGGTGTAGCCCTCCCCACCGCGGCAAATACGCATGTGCATAAACCCACGGGTAGATCTGTTAATCAAGATGTTTTTTATAAATAAACTTATTTATAAAAGTTCAACTAATAAGAAAAAAGAAAATACTTATTTGTGTAGTAAAATTCAAAATTTTTTGAACTACACATATAATAAATACATGGTAATAAAAACAACAAACTTAGCATTTTGTGTTATCTAATAGTAGATAAAATAGGTTTCTAGATCAGCTTAATGTCAGGTTTTAGTGCGTGACACCGGTTTTTGTCTAAAGCCCGACTAAGAATAAGAAATCGGAATGTTAGAAATATAATGCTCGAAGAATGAGTAAATATAAGTTTTCCTGACGCATTCTGGGTCAAATCCGAATTACTTACGTAAAAATATTTAAATAAATAGGGATATTATAACAATTATTTTAAATTATTTAAAAATTATCTAAATCCATTTTGAGATATTAATATTAACAATAACATTCAAATAGATATTAACGTTCTCGTGTAATTCATAATTGTTTTAATGAATAAATAAAGTTTTTTTTTTACCCGTGGCTTTGACCTATTCTAGCTAATATTATATTATGTTAATATATTTTTATAATAATTATAAATTAACACAAGTTATAATTATTTCAATTTTTATTTGAACTATACTTATCACGGAGTAAACCTAGGCTTTTTTGTTCTTCGTAACATGGTTGAGCATGGTTGTGTGACGTGCACTTGAAGTGCAACTACGCCATTTTCTGTCTATCTCTCTTTAATGATCTGAGATTTGGACATACAATTAATAGTTGGTTGCAAACTATATGGTTGGTTGGTATTATCATATCTGATTGTATATTTCATATCATTTATTATCTACGTGACTCAGAATGACATTACATAACATAAGTTTGATAAAATTCTGAATCGAATCAAAATGTGAAGGCGATGATCATTAATGTTATAAAATTTTAATAATAATAATCTCTGACCATCAAAGAAAGGAAGACGGAATGATGCGTACATTTTAAGTGATGCAAAAACCAAGCCAAAACCATGCTCAACATTTTGTATGAACGCTAGCACAACCAACAACATAGTTTGAGGTTTTAAGGGCTGATAATGAGAGAAATAAGAAAATACGTGTGGCACTCGGTGACTGCCGCGGTAAAACTATTGCATAGCATTTTTTATCAACTTATGCAATTATAATTATTTATTTATTTTATTTATGCAGTTAAGTCTTTGATATTAAATCAAGTTACACTTTTTGAGCGTGGTGACCGATAAGAAAACAATTTTTTTTCTCTTATTGAATAAATGAGAAGTTAATATTGTTTAAAATATTTTTAATATCTTACAATACATGTAGGTTATTCAGGAATTTTTATCATTGAGTTAGCAGCTAGTGTACACGCATACGTCTAGTCGCACGCACACAAACACCGTGCCGAAGTCTGCCGAGTGCCGAAGTCTGCCGAACTGAAACGACGTTAGACGATGCACGGCTTTCAACGCCATACCTCCGTGCCCGTCGGAGTGGGGAGCGTGATGTTTTTTTCGTTACGGAATTTCTGGATTCGGTCCCCGCGCTCAAGGCCCGCGACAGAAGCTATGCAATAGCTTAAAAAGATCTGTGCATGTGAGTCTTCGTGTGTGTGTGTGTGACAACGCAACTGTATTTTAATTCTTAATCGAGGGGAGAATGTACTCGTAGGTGCCACAAAGCACAGTCCTAAGTAGGGTTGCCACCTTTCTTTGAAATAATATAGTATTTTTCCCAAAAAAGGATCCAAAAATTTAGTATGGAGAGAAAAAAATACACATTTATTTTTAATTTTTATGTATTTTTCCACACATATTTGTTATTGCTCTTTGCTTTGGCCTTAAATATTTAATACCTTTAAAATAATTATAGAAGTATGAGCAATTTAGATTCATATTAAAATAAATTAACAATTAATTTTTAATTAAATCACATAATACATGCTCTATTTCTTTCTTCTTTGAATTTTACATTCATGACGGAAAAAATCATTTCCGTAATTACTTGTTCCAGACTTCTCAAAGTTAATATAAAAAAGTGCGACAATTGAATTAGAGATAAAAAATATAGTATTTTTCGTACTATATTATTTTTCTATAATATCTAGTACAAATGACTGATATATAGTACAAAACTATATATTATAGTACGGGTGACAACTCTAGTCCTGGGCCACCTGCATCTAATGCCTTTCTGCTTAATGTGGGTCGTCACTCCATCCAGCCGGGGGCGTTCTATACTTTGCGTACTGATACGAGATTGTCACTCGATAACCTTTCTTCCCCATCAATTGTTGGTTTTTCGAACTTTATTGTCACAACATTTTACTGAACTGTTAGTTAGTTACTTAGGTTCTACTGTGGATATTCTTATTACAAAATCTAATGAAACAGTGAAATTAACGAACTCGTTAGCTCTATGAGATTACTTTCATTGCTCATTCAAGGACCTTGTTTCAGATCCGTATTACATCACTAACAACACGCACTGGTTGTATTGTTTTAAAGTTTTAGCAGTAATTCAACTTAATGACATCTTGTATTTACACTATTACTAGACATTGAATTAAAAAATATATAACGGATTTGCTTTACAGCACACATAGTCACAGGACATTAAGTACCCCAGTCACCCCCATGACCATGGGTGCTGTCGGAAATAGTTAGTCAAAATAAGTTAAAATAAACGTAATAAAATCCAGAGAATAAAAGAGTGTGGTTTGTAAGATGATGTTGTGACCAGGATTAAGAAAGAAACGCTTCGGTGGTTTGGTCATGTGGAAAGAATGACGAAGAAAATTTATGTTGCAGAAGTGAATGGCAAAGTCGGAAAGGAACGCCCTAGGCGAAAATTTATCGACCAAATTAGCGATTTATTAAAAACAGGCCAAATTAGGAGTACCCTTAACCGACGAGCATGTATGCGTAGGTATATGGATGTGAAGGAGGCGAGAGAGGTGTGTCAGGATCGTGCCAAATGGAAGTCTGTAATCTCTGCCTACCCCTCTGGGTGACAAGCGTGAGTGTTTATGTATGTAAAATCCAGAAAATTAGTTTTATGTGATGAAATTCAACTTACTTTAAACTCAGCGAGTAGTCATGCTTGGCAGATTCACTGTTTCTGACAAGAAAGGCCCCTTCATTGGCATCCCTCAGCAGGCTTTCAGCTTCCACACGCGACAACGTGCCGTGATACCACCTGCAAGGAACATTCATTCTAGATAAGTTATCTATCAATTCCTCCAAGAATAATATTATAAAACTAAACTTTCTAAAAATGTTTAATGCTTTAAACGCGGCCTCGCTCGCGTTACCATTGATTTTGTCAACCAATTCTGATTGTCGATCGATACAGAAATAATTAAATAACTATTCTTTTATTTATTTCAGGTTATTTTGAAAAAAAAAATAATATGAAAATCTTAAACATTTATCATCAAAAACATTTCTGCAAAGTTCAAAGCAAATCGGATGACCCAATAAAAAGTTTCATACAACGTTTACACCGCCCCTCAACCCACCCCTATTCGTTTTTAGCGAAAGTAGCTGTAAAGGGAAAAAGTTTTATACATGGTAGAGCCACGCAGCAGCTATATTATGGTTGTAGCACGAATGGGTCGGCTCGACCGGGGTAGAATACAACAACACCCTTGCACAGAATACCAGCGTAAAATAGTAGCTTAATACTGCTGTGTTTCTTATGGTGAGTGTAGAGATCCGGAGACCCTCTTTTACTGGAAACGAGGCATTCCAACTTAGTGCTCAGAGGTGACAACGCATCTGCGTTTTGATTCTTAGATAGCATCCACCAACTATCAGGTGGAGTGTGTGCTCTTAACCTAAGGACTAAGATGGAATGCCTCGTTTTCAGTAAAAAAGGGTCTCCAGATCTCTACACTCACCTTACGAAACACAGCAGCATTAAGCTGGTATTTTACGCAGGTATTCTGTGAGAGCGTGGTTCTCGTGGTTCTTCCCAGGTTCGGCCCGGGTTTCGGGGGTTTCCCGGGACCGACCCATACGTGCTACAACCATAATATAGCTGCAGCGTGACTACCACGTATAAAACAATGAAATATTTGTTGATGAATATCAATCGTTAATAGTGAACTGACTTACCCCTGTCGGTCGAGTGGCAACGATGCATCGATCAGGTCTCGTGGCGGGGCGATTGGCCCCAAATTCAAGTGCAAGCCCTTCGCGCTACTCGAACCGCCACTGCCACTTTCAAAGTTTAACGTCAGTTTTGGTCTATGTTTATCGCCTGGAAAAGATAAGAAGTATAAGTAAGTTTACCTTTAACTTATAATTATTACACAAGATAACATAATAGCCAAAAAGTACTTTTAATATTACATTCGCATGCGGTGTGTAGTGACGGCGTAAGAAAACCCACTACCACATATCATCAGGGAACACGAGGATATGTGCAGCGGCGCCTTTCTATAACAACTAGAATAAAAAAATGCGGTTGCCAACTCGACTATAGCGTGGCAACTGTGGCAAATATGTCCCAGCAATTTAAGATTGTGGCTATCTTCGGCAGTAGACTTTTGATTGGGTGTAAGGAATAATTGGCTGCGTTTGGCAGAAAAAAGCGCTAGCAAGCGCTTGTAAGCAAAATGGCGATCGTAAGCAGTAAGCGCTGTCAAATCGTAAGTAGCTATTTTCCTCTAGGACACGAAGTTAGTTTTAACCGGGGAACCTAACCTAATTTAAATATATGTTTGTAAAGTATTCATATTAAAAACTTATCAATCATGATGTATAATACGTTTATTCATGTCATTATATTACTTAAAACTAATATTGCACAAAACAACTTATAAATTCTACTTCAAAACAAACAAATTAAATAAGCAAAATGGCGGATTGTGTCAGCGCTACTGAAGTTAGCAAACGTGTCCTGGCCGATAACTGTTTAGTTTCGCCATTTTGTTTACAAGCGCTTGCTAGCGCTTTTTTTGCCAAACGCAGCCAATAAATACATTTTTTTACGTTTAAGATAGTAACTAAACAACATCTAATGACCAAGGAGCAACTCGAGAAACTTACTCAAACATTTTTATTGAACGTCAAACAACTTTTTAGTTTAACTCTTGGAATAAGGTTAACTCAACTGGACGTTACAAATTGACCGTAAAACACACAGGAGATTTCCTCCGAAGCAATCAAGCAAATTAAATATTAGAAAACCCTATTTAGCCTCTATTTCGTGTGGGATAATCTGTCGAATACAATGGAAAACAAACAGAAAAAAAATGCGGTTTACTCGGAAAATGAGCATAAAATTGACTGGACAGATAATATGTAACATGATATATACTTATGTTTCAATTTTATACAGTCATGTCCGTTACAAATAGTAGAGTTATTGGATGTACATGCATGTAGACTGAATTTGATGTTTTTTCAGTTAGGATCAGAAAGTTCTGAATACAAGAACATATAAGAAAATGTAACCTAAAATAGTTTATTGTATGGAAAGTCAATGTTTCAACTGGAATAGAAAAATAAACATTACACAAAGGATAAAAAAGGCAAATTACCTTGGTTTAAATCTTGTACGCTTTGGCTGGAAGAAGCGTTAGAGATGGCTTCACCAAAGTCGTTGTTCAGTTGCAAAGATTGGCCGCGCAATTTTCGACGCAGCTTCGGCATGTCGAACGGTAAAGTTCGCAGGTCGATTTCAGCCTCTGCTCTGCGTCGTCTAAGTTTAGGCATGTCAAAAGGAAGGTCCGATAAATCTACATCATCAATTTTTTTCTCTTCTTCAACGCTGCTACTGTTTTTGAAGTTGATGAAAGCATTACGTGAATCAACTCCTTCTCTTGAATGAATCGATATACCACTGTCGGAACCTTGTATTTCGGTGTCTCCGGTCACAGAATGCCGAAACGAGAGGTTGAGTAAGTTCTTATTTTGTAGCGCACGACGTTTTACTTTAGGAACTATTTCAACGGTAGTTTGTACAGTTGCGTTCCCTGTCTCTACATCCTCAGGTGACACTTTCTGCGAGTTATTGTTTTTGTTATTGTCAGATGTTTCTGACCCTGGTTCTTGTGAAGATTTGTCCGATATAGGACTAAGAATGTGTAATTTAGTCGGATGATGTCCAAACCCCGACAACTGCATGTGATGTAAGGATTTAGTGAACGGGACGTTTCCCGAATCTGAGCTATGAGAACTAAGGGAGGATGAATGTCGGCTTTCAGAACTACTACTACTCCGGTCGCCCTCGCTGTTACTGCTTCGCAACGATTCCATACTACCTCCACTACTGCTTGTAGCCATGCTCTCTGTACTGGAATATTTCCTACGCGGTCGGGCTACTGATGGCCTTCCTTTAAACTCCATTATAGGGCCGACCCCCTTTGGCCCTGAGTACCGATTCAATTTTGTTCTGTCGGAATCGGAAGTGGGTCGACCCTTAATCTCTAAAAAAATACCGTCTTTTGATTGTGCCCTGTCATCATCATCCTCTTGTGATTCGCGGCTGGAATCCCTCAATCGCTGCCCAATATCCAGCTCTGTTGATACTGATCCTTTAACATCGGCTATGCTAGCATCACTACTCGTCGGGGTATCACGCGCTCGTAACGACTTTACGGGCAACCTCAAATCCTTAAGTCTTGGATGCGCGAGTTGAGATTGAGGCAAATTAGGTGCACTCTTTATACTGTTCATTGCAGACCCGTCTTTTTGTTGAAATTTTGTCGGCAACGGAGCCGTCGATGGGGGTGAAGGCGTGTACCCACGTAAGGGTAATTGAGAAGTTGACGCATTTCGACCCTCTTCTTCAATATGCACTTTTTCTAATTCCTCAGACAAAACACTCGCATTGTTCTCATTCTCTTTTTTCTGACGTATTGTGGGTATCTTGGACCGACGAACACTGTCAGTTTTCATGGTCACCTTACGTCTACCTTTATAGTCTGGTTCACTCCGCTCGACCGCTTCGAAAGCAGACGATGCGGATGAGATAACTTTACGTTCCTCGGCCTGCAATAGAGCCGGGTGATTGCTAACGCGATCGAAATCGTCCAGGTCATCGTCGGAGCGTGCTACTTTGCAGTCGAAAGCCGTCTCATATATCTGTCGGGTTGTCATCTCTTGAGGCCAGCGTGGCAGAGGCGCTGGCACGTAGAACACACTTCGTGAGGCCGAGTGCTCGTCTACATTTTCGGACGCGGCGCAAATGCAGCCGGCCGCGTCACGCCCGCGCCGCCGCGGTGGCATCCACGCGCTCTCCCCGGACGAAGACGACGAGCGCTCTAGCTCACGGAACCCATCCTCGGCGACGGAAAACCGCTTGGGCAAATTGGGCCGAGGAGCCACGTGCGGTGCGTCTAAGCTGGCCGACTTCCTGTAACGAGATCCTCGCGATGACGCGGTCGTGGTGGGCGCCGATGGGGCCGGGGGAGGAGGGGCTGTTTTGAAAAGATCTCCGTAATAATACGGGCTGGGATTCCTGCGCGGCGCGTTCGCGTATCGCGGGTCTGATCGACCGCTGTCTGGGGAATGCAAAGACGGCGCGGTGGCAAATGGATCGAAATCTCCGAATTCCTCTTCTTCTCCGTCTGTTGATGAGGATGGATCGCCGGAGGACGATTCTAAAAAGAAAGAGAACATTTTATACAATCGAGCAAGCTTTAAAATAAAAAATTTCATATCAATAATAATACGACAACATTTAAAGGGTGGAATTTAATGCTTGTTTCGACAAGGCTGGGCCTTAGGCATCTCCGAACCGTCTCAAGTGGTGTTCTTTAAACGAGCGTCTGGATTGTACTTTTGCCGGCTTTATATTTAATAAAAAAAATCTTTAATATTTTTTTTCTAACTTTTTCTTTCTTTGTTAGTTAAAAAATAATTTTGCATATTTTAGTAGATTTGAGGTAATTCGCTCATAACTGTTTGCACAAATAATCTGTGTGACTATTTCCTGTTTGACAATGATTAAAATTATTGATAGAATCAGGTGTTACTTTGCGGAAATCCATTATAATAAAGATATTAATAGTTAATTCGCAACCATCCGCAATGATGTATCTAACCTAGATTGAAGAGCACCTCTCGCCCCCCGCCCCCTCAATTGCGTGCACTAATCCCGTCACCACTAATCCCAGCACCACTACTCCCAACACCACCATTCCAGGAAAAATACACCATCGATGATAATAACGCTAAGCTTAGCGGTCAGCCGCCGTAGAGTCTACATCACCTGAAGATGCCTCGTGTAGAGGCGAAACACGTGTCTTTCCTGGAATAGTGGTGTTGGGAGTAGTGGTGCCAGGAGTAGTGGTGTTGGAAGTAGTGGTAACGGGATTAGTGCACGCAATTGAGTGAGGACGGGAGGTGCTCTTCAATCTAGGTAAGACACATCATTGTATTTATTACATTAAATATATTAATAGTTAATTTGCAACCATCCGCTTAATGGTTGCAAATTAACTATTAATATATTTAATGATTAAAATTACATTAAGCAAAGACACCTTGGGGAAGGCCTACGTCCAGCAATAGACTGCCCCAGACTGATGATGATGATAGAACATTATGCTACTACAGTAGAGCCTCCTTAATCCGAACGCTTCTATAATTCGAACGACCACTTACTCTTTGTTTCACAGAATATGCCAGTGCTAATCGTAAGAATATCTGCAGTCGATTGACGAAAATTTCACTGTTCTATACATGCCGCCTAGCATCTGCATAGCAGCAGTAACAGCATCTACAGCCCTAATTGAACGAATGAGTCAAAAGTTATAAGTTTTTAAAAATTATTAACACCATGAAAGATTTGATGAAGCTGTATTTTCTCTGGCTCAATGTTGGCAACAAGTGTCCTCAAATCTGCTCAAAAATTTAGGAAACCTCTTTGGCTTTTGTTATTTAAACCTAAGGAAATTTCTGGCCACGATCTGCGTGACTTTGACCCTGAAGAAGATATAATATCTACATACTATAATCCGAATGCCTCATTAATCCGAACAGGGTGTAAATTTAGGGTGATTGGATTATCAAGGACCTACTGTATAGTAATTTAAAAGACTTTTTACGAAATCGAACTGACACATGAACAAGTGGCTACTGCAGTTTATGGAAACCTGCACCTAAATTCCAAACAAATAAGGTATAGAGATGCGTAGTCCTAGAATATAGTAGTAGCGTAGTCTCTGAGGATTAAGATGGAGTGCCCCATAGTCGGTAATTAGACTAGCACGCTTTTCTTCTCTTTTTACCCTTCAGATCGAACATAGAATTGCGAGCAGTTTTTTGGAAAGAGAGAGATAAAAAAGACATTAATATTTAATTCGCAACCATCCGCTTAACTAAATACAATGATGTGTCTTACCTGTATTGAAGAGCACCTCCCGCCCTCCCTCAATTGCATGCCCTAGTCCCAGCACCACTATTCCCAACACCACTACTCTCGGCACCACTACTCTTAAAACCACTCTTCCAGGAAAAACACACCATCGACGATAATACATTATTAATAGAGTATTATCGTCGATGGTGTGTCTTTCCTGGAATAGTGGTGTTGAGAGTAGTGGTGCCGAGAGTAGTGGCGTTGGGAGTAGTGGTGCCGGGAGTAGTGGTGTTTGGTAGTAGTGATGCTGGGACTAGTGGTGACGGGATTAGTGCATCTTTACGTGGTAGAGCCATGCTGCATTTATATTAGTAGTATAGTTGTAGCACGAGTGGGTCGGCTCGACCGGGGAAGGACCACGCTCTCACAGAATACCAGCGTGAAATAGTAGCTTAATGCTGCTGTATTTCGTATGGTGAGTGTAGAGAACCGGAGACCCTTTTTACTGGAAACGAGGCATTCCATCTCAGTCCTCACGGGTGACAACGCATCTGCATTTTGATTTTTAATGGAGGATAGATGTAGATGTCTATGGGCCGCAGCAACCACTTACCATCAGGTGGACTGTGTGCTCGTTTGTCACCCTATTCTATAAAAAAAAATGCACTTGAGGGAGGACGGGAGGTGCTCTTCAATCCAGGTAAGACACATCATTGTATTTAATTAAGCGGATGATTGCGAATTAAATATTAATGTCTTTATTATAATGAATTTCCGCAAAGTAACGCCTGATTCTATCAATTATGTTAAAGATAGAGATGTAAAAGAATGGTACATACTTAGACAAACTCCTAAGCACTAAAGTTCTACCACACAGTGCAGTTCTAAATATTTTTTTTAATATTATGTTTTGACTAAACCAGCTAATTTGATGAAATGCGGATCTTTACCGCACCATGCAAATGCATGCCCTTTTAAATTCGCACACATAATGTTGTTTCAAAGGCATATAGAAATACCCTAATGAGAATTTCTAGCCTCACGCAACAAAGGCGTCCTTCTGAATGCACGTTGAACATAAAAGTCTGGTTATAAGCCCTCCAGCCGCGACAAATATCTACGATCGTGAGGCATTTTTCGTTGTTATTTTAGGAGTAATTCTTAGATATTTTATTTTTAATTTAAGTATATTGTGTTTAAGTAACGTTGTAGCTCAGAGGCTGAAATGCTCGTCGTAAATTTCATAGTGCGCGAGCAACAGACTTCGATACCCATCGACTCCTATGTAATCGTTAAGTGTTGATTTACCAATTGCCAATTTACGCCGTGCTTGGTGGTAACGGAAAACATCGTAGGGAAACCTGAATTACTGAAAACTAAAATATTTCGAGGACATGTAAAGCCCGCCAACAATCGGTAATAAAAAGGGGCCAGAGCGGCAGACTACCTGCTCTATATTATCTCTCTCAGAAATGAGAGGAGGCCTGTGCCCAGCATTGAGCATATATAGACAGTAAAATTATTTTACGAAAGAAGAAAAACTTTTAAGTTTGAAGGGCGTTAATTTCGACATATTATATTTTATTTCTTCACGTAAAGTAACCTCAATAAAATAAATGAAACAATTCTTTATTCGCAATCATAATGGCTCAAATTATAAATTGATTGAACTAAACACTTACGGCCTAACTATTATAGTAATCGTTGATTATTGCTCATTTAAATTAATATTTGTCTCTTTCTAGCTCTAAATTTTATACTTATCTCTTAGAAATCAAGTTTAATTTCTTTATTGTAAGCCGTTATTTACGGCTATTCAGTACAAACTAAACATATAAAATAATCTAATAATTAATAACTAAATTAATATTTTTATGGCAACATTAAAGTGTAACTTTTTGTATCGATTTACTCTGGCAACTTATTTCGCTCTCCTGTCAATCTAACTTATCCAGCATATGGTTGCTCTGTCCACTAAATTAAGTAAAAAATATCCAGAAATAAACAGTTTTCAAATGTTATTGCATGTTTTTCTTACGAAACGCCCTTTCTTATTATCGGTGATTGTTGCTCCCTTCAATTAAGCATTAATTATCTCTACACTTGTCTCGCTCCTTCTATGATCATTTAGTGAAAAGAGATAGAGCAACTTAGGGTATTTCTTAATTGACCATTGAGAGAGAGTGAAACCTTTACTAGAATAGAAAACCCTGCATTATAATATTCTGACTCCTCACACGCGTTATTATTACACTCACTAATATAATCGCAATAAAATTTACATACTAAGAGAAGTTGAACATTTAGAAGAAAAAATATACTTATAAATATAAAGGTATTTACTACACCATATAATACGTGCATAATCTATTTAACAGAATAGCACTCGTGAAGCAAATCGACTATTTGCGATGCGAAGGGAGAATCTAAGTGATGTCGTTAGGTGACGTAATTACTTTTCCGCGTGGATGACCAGATTCGTGACGCGAGTTGAATTTGTTAAATAATTGCAATCTACGTGGATAATGTCTTTTCGAAATGTGTCGGTAGTTGAAACTTACTGTAAATCGATTGGAAAATGAGAGTAACTTTAAAAGCGCACTTTTTAAAAAAAAAGTTTATGTAAACGAGCGGACAGTCCACCTGATGGTACGTGTATACTGTGTTCTATTGACACCTCAAATATACTTACCACTAAAAGCTTTTTCTAATATTTTGTTTGACCGTCAAAAGAAGAGGGGAGAGTAGTGATTAATCTAAATTATAAATCAGATGGACGCAAACACACACAACATGTCGCATCTTATAAACAACAAACCACCGAGCACTTCCTCTTCCGTTAGGGAAAAACTAATAAGATAAACGTTCATAGACAAGGGTTCCTGAACTTTTATTGGCAAATACAATATGTTTTTATCAATCACTTTAAGCAAAAAGCTGTTACTTAACTTAAATACAAAAATAACTGCAAAAGCAGTATGCAATCAGTAGCCTGTATTTATCACAGCAGAGACATTTTCCAGTCTAGACGGCGAACAAACGGAAAAGCCTGATTAAAACTTGCCATTGTTGCCTCACTGCTACTGCAGCTTTTATTAGCTCCAGCGGCCTAATTGTGGAGAGCCAATCGGCCTCGGTGCCATCTATCCATGTATTAAGCTCTTTTGCTTGTCCGATATCTTTTTTTATTAACGACATTTTTTTATTATTCGAGTCAATAAACCATTCTAGCAATTTAACATTCGTATAGAGGAAAATACAGTGTTAATCTCTTTGAAACGAAACTGAAGGAATCACGTGTGTCTTTCGTCAAATATATTGAGTTAAAGTTTAAAAAAATTACAGTGTATTTTTTTAAAGAATATTAACAATGCTATAAACATTACTAATATTCCCCTTAACCACTCGTGTTAAGCTTAAATTGCTTGTGATACGAGTGGTTCACGCCAGTAGTCGAACGGCGGATTCGAACCCACGACCTTTTAAAGTTCGCGGTCCGCGCCGCTCACTGTATTGACTCAATTACATTTTTTTCTATAAACTGTATGGTTCGTTAATTTGGCTTGACGTCGGAACATCTTATGTATTATGGTCGGCTCGACCGGGGAGAGACCACGCTCTCACAGAATACCAGCGTAAAATAGCAGCGTAATGCTGCTGTGTTTCGTATGGTGAGTGTAGAGAACCGGAGACCCTTTTTGCAATGCATCTGCGTTTTGATACCTAATCGAGGATAAATGTAGATGTCTATGGGCCAGCATCCACTTACCATCAGGTAGACTGTGTACTCGATTGTCACCCTTATTCTGTAAAAAAAGTTGCTAAGCCAATACTTGGTATATATTTTTCTGGTATATATAAAACTTCTTGGATAATGTAAAGCGATGATAAATATATATTGATGCCAAGGACACATATGTATAAACAAAGCCGTAATGTTTCGTTATAGAGGATAACTATTACATAACAGTGTTTTTGTATATGGGTAATAATATAAACCAAACAATCTTGCGCAATATCTACGAGTATGCTATAAAGATATAAAGCTATTCGCCGTCGTAATAAATAGTGTACAATGTTACTTTTTATAGAATAAGGGTGACAAGCAGAAACCCAGTCCACCTTATGTCACTTACATTGCCGTGGCCCATACACATTCTGTTTTTAATTATTCTTTGTAATACATGTATAATAATAACATAACATAAACATATATTAAACATTCACGCCTGTCACCCAGAGGGGTAGGCAGGCACTACAGACTTCCATTTGGCACGATCCTTACACACCTCTCTCGCCTCCTCCACATCCATATAACTACGCATACATGCTCGTCGATTAAGGGTACTTCTAATTTGGCCCATTTTCAATATATCGCCAATTTGGTCAATAAATTTTCGCCTAGGACGTCCCTTTCCGACTAAGCCGTTTACCTTAGCAACGTAAATTTGCTTTGCCACTCTTTCCTCATTCATTCTTTCCACATGACCAAACCACCGAAGCATTCCTTTCTTAATCCTGGTCACAACATCATCTTGCAAACCACACTCTTATTACACAATTTCTCACCCTGTCACTCGGATTCAGCCCTAACATATTCATTAACGACCACATTTATACTGTGTTTATTCTACTCTCGTGCTTCTTCTGCCACACTCAACTTTCACTACCATACGTTAAAGTAGGGACCAACACAGCATTGTGAATTGCCATACGTGCCTTTTTGACACATTCTGACTCTTCACAATAAAGTGTAGGGCCCCATTTACTCTATTTTCTGCGTTTACTCGTCGTTCTATATCCTTATCATATCTCCCATCCTCGCTAAATACGCATCCCAAACATACAAAGCATAATTCATCTACTTGCACTATCATTTCATAAAGTAAAGTAAATAATTCATTTACTTGCTTTATCATATCATAATAATAAGTATATAATATAAAGTATAGATATAAAAGAGCGGAGTCATCTGCTTCAGGCGTTATTTGCTTAAACGAAGACTCCGGGCGCTAATGATTATAGATGGGCCGAATATTCGTTTTATATTCGGTATTCGGCATATTCGGCAGGTTTACCGAATATTCGTATTCGGCCGAATATTCGGCTAAATCACCGAATATTCGTTAAAGTGGTACTCAAACTATCCACTGTATGGAAGGAAATGTGCGAATTGAGTAATGCCATGTCTTTCATCATATTACTGTTGAAAGTATATTTATTTACGGGTTAAATCTACTTGTATAACGATATGTTTTTGAGGCACTGTAGATTTATTTCAAATTATAGCAAATAGAAAGCTTGCTAAAATTCTGTTTGGAATCAAACAAAGAAACATTACATTACAGTCGTCAGTTTCTCTAAAATTTGTCCAAATATTAGATCTCCTGCACTCATTTTCATCACATCGTTATCAATTTTCACTAAGAATACTTTTTTCTCACAAAAATAGTCAAAACATAAGCTTGTGCCGACAATTTGCTCAGTACTGGATGATGCAATAACATGTCAGGTGTGGCGGGGGAGCAAGGGGAAGGCTCTGGCGCTAATTCCACGCGCTTTACGGTAACAAGTTTCGAAATAAATTGGCTAGGTACCTCGGTAATCCTGCCGAATAATGTTCGGCCGAATATTCGGTTCGGTAAAAATTTTACCGAACGTTCGGCCGAATATTCGTATTCGGTGAAATCCATATTCGGCCCATCCCTACTAATGATTGTAAACTAAATCTTTTTATTGAAATAAACGTTATTATTATTAAATTTAAAAACATCTAAATTCATGCTTAATTAAAAATCCAAATGCAGGTGTGTTGTCACAAAAAGTGTGTAAAAAAGGTCTCCAGTTCTCTACACTCACAATACGACAGCAATTTTCCGCTGTCTCACGCTAATATCGTGTGAACGTGATTCTTCCCCGGTAGAGCCGACCCATTCGTGCTCCAGTAATACAGATGCAACATGGCTGTGCTACGTTTGCAAAAATATGTTAAAATAAGCCCTCTACCTAAACTCTCACTACGCTAATGTACGCCATAGCCAAAATCTTTTTAGTTACTTGCCAGCCCATGTACTTACATAATATATTACTAATTAAAAGGCCGCAACGATAAACTTAGAACTTAAAATGAGACAAAAAATAACTGCTACTAATTAGAAACTGTTGGTTAAGTTGCTTTTCTTAATTTATGTCTTTGTCTATTGATTTATTAAGGTGTAACGTTGGTCTGGTTTTATTAATGATTTTGATGGGTAAGTGAGAGGTCATAGGGTTACCAAGTCAGGGATCCTATATTTAAATTTAAGCCGCATTCGTGCAAAAACAACAATATCATAATACAATAAATAAAGCTAATAGCACACTAGTTCTAGCCTTCGTGTAATTTATAAATGCTTAGACGATAAGGATGTGAGGAAGGGCATTATTACGGAAAATATAAATGTTTAAATTTAAAACAAGTAAATCACCTATTTGAATAAGATAGTTGTAATTTTTTTAGTCACTACAAAAATTATTTTTGTCTTAAAATTATCACGAAACAAATTGTGGCCTACACTGGGCTTTATCGATCTACAGTAAAAAGTAAGTTATCTCCATATGTTATGCAACATAGAGAATACTTCGTTGTTTTTCTTTCTTTTTAATACCGCTGCGGGTATGGACACAGCTAGATTTTCGGTCTACAGCTGAGAGAACAATGCTTTAACAAGTCTTCACCACAATTGTTATGCTGGGAAAAAGAAGTCTTTGTCCCACAAGTCCTTAGACACGAGAAGCGCGTTTCATATACACGAGGCTTATATGATTTTATTTTTAAAATTGTTTCTACTGACGGCAAATGAAACACTAGTAAATTATTCGGATCTAAGGTTGGTTTCATATTTTGGGTCGTAAACATTTATCATTATAACTATATCATCCTTTTAGAAAAAAATTTTGCAACACCTACAACTTTTACCACATGACGAAACTGTTAATGATAAAAGCGGATCTATCGCATCGATCATCGAATTTCAACGATCTAACGATTATTAAAAAAATTTTTCGTCAATAAACAAAATATCCAACGAAATGCGAACTTACCGGATTCGTAATAAGGTTGCGACCGATGCCTTGACTGTCTCTCTTGCCTCAGCGGAGCGGAGGGTGCTGGCTCTGGCGGCGAATCTGCCGATCCTTCAGGAGCACTTTCAGGGCTACGTCGAGACACCCCAGGTGTGGACAAATGGAAATCCGTTCGCCTGGCCGACTCGTAATCCGCACGGCGTCGCGCCGACTCCGCGTCGTAAGCGGGTCGCCTTGCTGAGTCGTCGTCAAACTCCCTGTATTGCCTGCGGCCCGAGCCGTAGTCGTACGGTCTCCGGGACGATTCAAAGTCGTATGGCTGTCGCCGGGATTCGTACCGCCATTGGGTAGTGTCGGGCGAGCGACGCGGCTCCCGCGAGCGTCGGCTGCGTTGCGGTGAGCGTCGCGCTGTATCTCTTGGCGTGCAATATGCTTCTAAGAATTCAACCTGTAAGAATAAATTAAGGATTTAAGAATTGCATTTAATACATTTAACCATCACACACTTTCATTAATAAGCACCATTCAAACATCATACGCTTGTTTACGTGGTAGAGCCACGCTGCAGTTATATTATGGTTTTAGCACTTATGGCCACGCTTTCACAGAATACCAGCGTAAAATAGCAGCGTTATGCTACTGTGTTTCGTATGGTGAGTGTAGAGAACCAGAGATCCTATTTAATGGAATCGAGGCATTCCATCTTAATCCTCAGGGGTGACAACGAATTTACATTTTGATTCTTTGAGGATAAATGTTTGTCTTTGGGCCACAGCATCCACTTACCATCAGGTGGATTGTGTGCTCGTTTGTCACACGATTATTTAAAAAAATAACCCTACAGTTACAACAGTTATAGCCTAATAATATAGTCCAGAGCCAGAGCTAGGCACAAATATTTGACTCTCATTTCTAAGTAGGTAATGTAAAAACTAGACCGGCGCGCGGTACCGCCTTAGTGCATATTGTCAGACTTCACACGACGTCATTTTTTATAAAAGTGAAGTAGCAAGCGAATTAACAGTCCTCCTGATGGTAACTGCTGCAGTCTATGAACATCTCTGGCCAACTTCAAAGAAAGAAAGCTACAGATGAGTTGTCAACTCTGAGGACCAACATGGAATTCCTCACAGTCTGCAATACAGTGGCTCTTTATGCCCTTCAGATCGAAACTCGACAATTGAAACACAACTATTTCGTAGCAGAAATAGTAGGGTAGTGCCTGCCCAAACGGACTCCCGGACAGAAAGGGTGTTCTTTGTGTAAATTAAGGTAAAATATATGCCCTTAGGTAAAATGTATGCATAAATCTATATCTACAAATAAATAGAATTGAGGGGTCTGTTTGTAATGTCAAATTAACAGCTTTTTACTAAGTGCATATGATAGTTTTTTTTTTTTTTTATAGAAGTGACTACCGCCGCCCATGATCAACCGCAACACCAGGGGAATTGCAGCTGCGTTGCCGGCCCTTTAGAAAGGAGTAAGCTCTTTTCTTGAAGGTCCCCAGGTCGTATCGGTCCGGAAAAATCGCCGGTGGTAAGCTATTCCACAGAGAGGTCGTACGCGGAAGAAAACTCCTTGTGAAACGTACAGTGGTGGACCGCCAAGCATCCGGATGGTGTGGATGGTACCGGGACGTATGATATATATATATACGAATATATATTACAAAAACATTTTTTTAATTTTTATCTGTCTGTTTGTTTCCGGCTAATCTTGGAAATGGCTGGACCGATTTTAATAGGACTTCCACTGGCAGATAGCTAATGTTATAAGAAGTAACTAAGGCTACTTTAAAAAAATGTAATCGTAATAAATTCCACGCGGACAAAGTCGCGGGATACAGCTAGTATTTATTATCTTCAAAATTAACATCTCTAACAGTCGCTTCAATTGTTATAACGTTACGTTGTTTTCAAAAGAACATCGCATAACGGTTAACGTACGATATAACGATCACCTACAAAACGATTATTTGTGAAAAAGAAGCCCTTCATCATGAAGGTCGATTATGTGGCAAAGTAAAGTGGTAATAAAATGCAGCGGTCACATATCCGGGACCGTAACGGCCGGTTAAACGTCCCTCCCCATAGCAGTATGTCATTACCACCAACCGTTTCTGTTTATGTGGACGGATATAAAGAACATTATGAGATATTGTGCTCGCTGATTGGACGACATGATAACATTTAAACGGACTGCAAAATTTTATGCCGTTAATTTAAAAATTAACATTTTTGAATTTTAATTAATATGTTGCATATACACATAACACATACATACATACGAGTTATGAAAACAACAGCTCTACTACGTAACTTACAAGTTTTTTAAGTTCTTTGCTAATGTCAAAGTAAAAAAAATCGTTAAAAAGTTTTAATAAATCTTTCACTAGTACAGTACGTATATTTTTTATAGTATATGGTGACAAACGAGCACACAGTCCACCTGATGGTAAGTGAATGCTATGGCCTATAGACATCTACATTTATTTTATCATCAATAAAGAATCAAAATACAGATGCGTTGTCACCCTTGAGGACTGAGATGGAATGTCTCGTTTCCAGTAAAAAAGGTCTCCGGTTTTCTACAGTCACCATACGAAACACAGCATCACTGAGCTGCTATTTCACGCTGGAATTCTATGAGAATGTGGTCCTACCCCGGACGAGACGACCCTTTCATACCATAATATAACTGCAGCGTGGCTCTACCACGTCAAACTACGTATATATATCTACGAACTATGGTAAATGCAGACATAATCAACCGTGCATCCATTACAGCCTATTAAACGTTCACTAATTAACTTATAAAAAAGAATTATATTTAGCTATTAAAAGTTAAAATCACTGATGAGTTCCAAACTTTCATTCCGTGGGGTACAAAAAATATCGTTACGGGTGCACATCAACATCGAAATTGGAACGTTTTAGGCAAGCAGCTTAAGGACGCGTTTACAAAATGGATAGGTATAGAATCGCACTACTACATTGACAAAAGTCACACACACATAGTGTACGCACGGTTGGCTGTGGGAATCGTAGTCAAATGAAATTATTTTGATAATTTGAAAGATTGAATTTGTTTTTCATTTCTTATACCTACCTCAGAAATATACTTCGATACGAAATATGAATACCTGCTCCAAAGACTGCTTGGCACTGGAAGCCCTCTACTGGTAGTCAGATGTTAGCTCTGGACTTTGAACTGGTTTTGTCAGTTATAATAAGACCTTACCTACCTGCGGACTTGATGGAGTGACCTGAAGGTGTAATTTGGTGATTACAACAATAGGAACTCCTAGACTAGTGGAACTAGGTGTGCCGAGTTTGGGTTCGTTTTGTTGGTTATGATGAGACCTTACCACCGGACTTGATGGAGTGACCTGAAGGTGTAATTCGGTGATTACAAGTGGAACTCCTAGACTAGTAGAACTAGGTGTGCCGAGTTTGGGTTCGTTTTGTTAGTTATGATGAGACCTTACCACCAGACTTGATGGAGTGACCTGAAGGGGTAAGTTCAGTAACTACTGCTGGAATTTCTGAACGAGTAGAACTAGATGTGCCGAATTTGGGCTCCGTTTTGTTAGTTATGACGAGTCCATACCTCCGGACTTGATGGAGTGACCTGAAGGTGTAAATCGGTGATTGCAACTGGAACTCCTAGACTGGTGGAACTAGGTGTGCCGAGTTTGGGTTCGTTTTGTAGGTTATGATGAGACCTTACCACCGGACATGATGGAGTGACCTGAAGGTATAGTTCGGTGATTACAAGTGGAACTTCTAGACTTGTAGGACTAGGTGTGCCGAGTTTGGGTTCGTTTTGTTAGTTATGATGAGACCTTACCACCAGACTTGATGGAGTGACCTGAAGGGGTAATTCAGTAACTACTGCTGGAATTTCTGAACCAGTAGAACTAGGTGTGCCGAATTTCACTCCATCAAGTCCGGTGGTAAGGTCTTATCGTAACTAACAAAACGAAACCAAACTCGTCACACCTAGTTCTACTAGTCTAGGAATTCCATTTGTAACCACCTGATTACACCTTCAGGTCACTCAATCAAGTCCGGTGGTAAGGTCTCATCGTAACTAACAAAACGAACCCAAACTCGGCATACCTAGTTCTACAAGTCTAGGAGTTCCACTTGTAATCACTGAACTACACCTTCAGGTCACTCCATCAAGTCCGGAGGTATGGACTCGTCATAACTAACAAAACGAAGCCCAAATTCGGCACACCTAGTTCTACTCGTTCAGAAATTCCAGCAGTAGTTACTGAATTACCCCTTCAGGTCACTCTATCAAGTCCGGTGGTAAGGTCTCATCGTAACTAACAAAACGAACCCAAACTCGTCACACCTAGTTCTACTAGTCTAGGAATTCCATTTGTAACCACCTGATTACACCTTCAGGTCACTCAATCAAGTCCGGTGGTAAGGTCTCATCGTAACTAACAAAACGAACCCAAACTCGGCACACCTAGTTCTACAAGTCTAGGAGTTCCACTTGTAATCACTGAACTACACCTTCAGGTCACTCCATCAAGTCCGGAGGTATGGACTCGTCATAACTAACAAAACGAAACCCAAATTCGGCACACCTAGTTCTACTCGTTCGGAAATTCCAGCAGTAGTTACTGAATTACCCCTTCAGGTCACTCTATCAAGTCCGGTGGTAAGGTCTCATCGTAACTAACAAAACGAACCCAAACTCGGCACACCTAGTTCTACCAGTCTAGGAGTTCCAGTTGCAATCACCGATTTAGACCTTCAGGTCACTCCATCAAGTCCAGAGGTATAGACTCGTCATAACTAACAAAACGGAGCCCAAATTCGTCACCCCTAGTTTTACTCTGCAAGAAGTTCAAATAGCGGTCACGAAAGTACACCTTCAGGTCATGCCATCAAGTCCAGAGGTAAGGTCTCATCATAACCAACAAAACGAGCCCAAACTCGGCACACCTAGTTCCGCTCGTCCACGAGTTGCAGTAGTAGGTAAGTTTATATATCCTACTTATTTTTAGCTAAATAAAAACTGTGAGTATAAAAATAATAATTTTATCACTTGTCAAGTACTTATGTTTCCAATTTGTTTTTTTTCTAATATTTTGTGTATGTACAGCGATCTTTTCAGAATGAGCCGCTGCAAACAGGCGATACAGTGTCCACTCACGACGGCCGCCGAGCGCGGACTGTGGTTTCATCGAAATCTTTGTACAATAAATCAAAGCAGGCACCAACAATAAAATAGCCCTTATTGCAATACATTATGATTCATCCATATTACCAAAATATGTGAAAAAATGTGCATCAGTTTTTATTTTTTTTTACGACTATTTGTGACATTTTGTTAAAAAATAAACCCAGGGTTTTTTAATTGAATATGTCTGTCATCTTATAGTATTTTTTAAATTTTTAAATATGTTGATAATAGACCAAAACA